AATGAAAATTAAAAAACGCTTTAAAAAAACACTACTTGTAGTTTTATTTTCTGAAAAGAATAAATTTTTTAGAATAAATTAAATTAAATAATTAAATTAATTTTTTATTGGACGAGGAATGGCTTTTTGGGTAGATTTAATTTATTTATTTGTGGACAGCTTTCAACTTTGGTTGGTGGACCCCGGTGCCTTAATGATTGGCATGGATCGGTGGCCGGTGCCAACGACTCTTGTTTTTTTCTTCCTATTTTACCCCGCAAATCATCCAATTTACTACAGAAATAACAACATTTATATTATATTATAAAGTATTTGACTTATTTTTTTAAAAATAAATTATTATATATAAGGTATAATTATTTTGTGCACATTACTTAAAATTCAAAAATGCCAGTTAATTATATGTACGTACATGTTTTTAAAACATATCATTCCTATTGAAATCTTTACTCGTCCCTACAATTTCTCTAATCTAACTAACGTCCCTAGAATATCTCTTTTTTCAAAGAATGGATAGTTATTGTTGATTGCATATCTAATGGGCAGTTTTAACTTTGTATTTCTTATGATCGCCGTCAAATTTCCTTCCCCAAAGCTCGGTTGCTTCTCTTTCAAGGTAAGCTTCAACCTCATTGGTTTTGACCATTGTTTCTGATTGATTTATGGTCTGTATCGGTTTTTGCTTCTTTGTTTTTGACTCATTACACATCGATTCTTTATGGTTTCTTTGTCGGTTTAGGTTTACTTCCACGGAGCTCGATTGCTTATCGTCCCCAAAACTTGATTGCTTATCTTTCAAGGTGAGCTTCAACCTCAAGGGTGGTTGTATACTTGTATGCATTGATCCTTGCTTCTGATTGCTTGATTGATTTATGATATGTACCGATTTAAACTCTAACATCAAGCACCTTAATTCAAAACCTAGGTTTATCCGAGAATTTGTTCATTCAGTTGTGATATTTTAATCAATTGCATTATAGGATGATATTTTCGTTACAATCAGTTATCTTGATGAAGTTAATTAACGACAGAACATGATGAACGTTGCAGTCCTCATCCAGAGAAAGGGAGTTTGGAACTTGAGGAACATGTAAAAATATTTCAAGCCTTAAAAGAGACCAAAAAGCAAACCGGAGAGATGTCAATGCAAATTAAATCGAAGGATAAGAATTTAATGATTTTCCAGGATCAATAATTGAGAGAATTATTAAATTCTTATTCTTCTATGATTATCTTAATTTTGATTTGTATTGCATATTAAATCGAGATATATCTTGTTGCATTTTGCAAGTACCCTTCTAGTATTATTATAATACATCGTATTGTATTACCAATTTTAAACTATTTTTGGTTAATCTATGTTATATTATAATACATTTAACAAAAACTCTTAAAAATCATTTTTTATACATGAAATATTGTTTATTGATGCATATTATTTAAAAATTAAGATTACAAGTAATTTGTACATAAATATAACTTATTAAACCTTCATTGTTTAATTCGTGTAACTAACTGCAAATAAACATAATCATATACATGATAAACATCTCATTTTAAATATAAACAATATAAAATATAATTAAAATAATTATTGAGTTTTAACAAAATATTTAATTATTATATTTGTAAAAAAATATATTATTAAACCAAAAATAAATTACTTCGTTATAAAACCGAAATTGAATTATAAAAAAAAAATTGAATCAAGAAATTACATAAAAACGAGAACTTTTAAACAGTTAACTTGATATTAATACAAATATACTTTTCAAAATTTTAAATTGTAATATCTTAAAATTTATATTTTATTTAAGAATGAAAACATTATCACTTTCTCAAAACCACATAAAACTGTATTATATCGACCGAGGCAAAGAATAAAACAAAACAATAAAACCGAGATGTATATCGCTGCATTGTGCGAGTATTCTTCTAGTATTCAATAATTAATAAAAGGGTATCTAACACCTATGTTATTTTTACGAAATTGAAAATTTAAGTAAAAATTCTTGTATATCGGATATATTAAGGGATTGTTTGACAGTTGCTAAATGATTTAGTACAGATAATTAAGTGGTTAGAATGATTAAAAGACTCTCATGATATAGTACAAAATGAATTATAATTGTCTGATAATCTATACTATATTATAAAACATTTGACAAAAACTCTTAAAAACTATTTTTTATACATAAACTACTATTTATTGATGCATATTACTTAAATTTCACAATTACAAGTAAATTGTGCATAAATACAACTTATTAAAGATACATATTTGAATTTGTGTAACTAACTGTAGATAAACATAATCAAATATAGAACAAACATTTCATTCTAAATATAAAAAATCTAAAATATAATTAGAATACTCATTATGTTATAACAGAATATTTAATTATTATTTTTATAAAAAATATATTATCAAGTCAAAAATAAATTACTTTGTTATTAAATTTAAATTAAATTATAATAAAAAACTGAATTAAAAAAGTTACACCAAAAAAAGGATAGTTGCTAAAATTTAATACTAATATCAATTCTTTTTTCAAATTTTATATAATATTAAAATTTATATTTCATTAAAAAAAATTATCGTTTTTTCAAAACCACATAAAATCGTATTATATCGATAAAGACAAATAATAAAAACTAAACATTAAAATCGAGATTTATCTCGCTTCATTGTGCGAGTACCCTTCTAATAAGATATATTAGATAATTGTTCGACAGTTGCTGAATGGTTTGGTTCAAAATAATTAAGTAATCAAAATGATTAAGAAGGCTTCATAATATAGTGTAAAATGAAATATAATTCTTTGATAATTCTCTACAATGAAATTAAAGCGTTGAATGGTTAAGAGAGACCCATGATACAAAATCATTCAAAGGGTTTCAGAACCATTAAAAGACAAACTTTTTTGGACAAACAAGATTCACCTCTTAATAATTCAGAAACTACCTCTTAATAAAACTGGTAAAAAATAAACAAACAACCCTTTATAAGTTCTGATAAAAAAATACAGTTAAAATGAAAAACATAAAAATGTTAGAATAGATACAACACGCGTTAGGTGACGTGGTTTTAACTTTGAAAAATAGATATTTATTTTAGAATAAAGGAAATAATATATTTAAATTATAAATAAAAAACATTGTTTAATGAAAAAGAAGATAAGAGAGTGGGTCAAACGGCCGAACCACTCTAAACAAACCACAATAGACCGGTTACCCGTACTTAACCTAAACTCGCTTAATTAATTAATTAATTAAATTAAATTAAATTTAATTCTTTATTTTATTATAAATAATTTAAAATAAATATAATAATATAAAATCTGAAAAAAAGACAGATGTAGAAGCTCCTAATTCCCACTATTCATTTGTAACCACGTCATCTTATTTAATATTGTGTATATATTAATACATAATTAAATATCTTATTAAGTTATTTATCAACTTACATATTGTATTTTTTTTTTATCTTTGCAAATAAATATTATTATTTATAATATCTGATTAAAAATATTATATTTTATAGATTTTTGTTCATTTCGTGTGCAACGGTAAATAAATAAGATAAATTAAATGGCTTTTATCCTAGCGGTATGTAAGTCTTTGGCCTCTTAGGAGGTCAGAGATTCAAACTTCACTAAAAGTGAGAAGAATATGTGAATTTATTTGTTTTATTTATCGTATATAAATATTATATACTTTCAAAAGAAAATAAAAATAAAAAAATTACCATGATGCATAAAGAAAGTGAAAAACCATTACACAAAAATGTCAACCAAATTGCCAAATTATATTATTTGATTTTGTTAAAAAATTTAGAAAAATGTATTATTTATAATTTAAATAATAATTAATATTTATTAATATTAATAGTATCTAAATTGGCCAAACAATGAACCAAACTTCCCTTGTTAGATGTTAGGCAAGTAATCTGATCTATTTTACATGAGACTTATTATCAGATGTTTTACTTAACTGGTTTATAAGATTAACATATAACGTATCTTAATATGATCTCCACAATCTTCAAATGACCAATGGAGACAAAGTTACTAATGAGTGACGGTAATTAGGCTTGTTCATCGGTTGACATTCATTGGATTGTGAGGGGAACCGATCCGATCCGATCATCCATTGGATGTTGGATTTTACCAACCGATTTCATCCGATTAACATTGAATAACTGATCCAATTCAATCCGATGGATGATTGGATCGGTTCAGTTTCATCCATTTGATACATTTATTGGATATCTAATGGATGATCTGATGGGAATGGATCCATCCAATGTGTTAATTCAATCTAATATTATAACAATGATACAAATTAATTAATCACTTTTAATATGTGTGAAACCCAACACAAGGGAAGTTAAAAATTCAAAGCTTCACATGGGTATAAGCAATTTATAAATAAATTAATTGGATTATAGTTGGAGTAGTCTTTGGATTCCTAGAAGGTCGGGGGTTCAAATATCATCATAGATGAAAATGGTGTATGAGTTTATTTATTGCATCTGTCATATATAAATATCATATACTTCAAAAAACAATATGAACCAAACCAAGAACCGGTCCTTTCTAAACCCTTAAAAGTAGTGTTTTGGTTTGCAATTCATTTCTATTTCCGTCTCTGAGTCCAAAACACTACTTTTAATCATGAAGAACTAATAGAAATGAATTGTAAACCATAGGGACGAAAAAATCAGTACATTTTAAATCACACAGGATGAAAAAAGTAATAAACTACAACTATAGGAATGAAAATCGTAAGTTTAAAACCATAAGGACGAATATAGGAACATTTAACAGAGCACAGGGACTAAAAACGTAATTTACTCTAAAAAAATTTAAAAAACAATAATTAATGAATGCCAATAAAGGGAGTTCCACGAGGTTTGCTTCCCTGTCCCTCCTCCTTCAAAACCCCATTTCTCTCTCTCTCACGAACGCTGTGTGTGTGTGTGTGTGAAAGTTGAGAGAAAAATGAGACAAAAAACAGTCGACAGAAAATAACAAAAAGAAGCAAATCATCCAAACCCAATAATCCAATCCTGCAATTTTCTTCACCACATAATTGAATTCCTGTATCTACTTCATCTGAATTCTTGTCCATTTGTCCCTCCAATTCATCTTCTACACCATTTCAGATCCGTTTTCAATCGTCTTTCACTTGATTCGTGATTTCTTAAAGAGATTGCAAAAATTCCGGTGAATTCTCATCGGCATTTTCGATTTTTTTGAGGCGTTTTTGGGATGGAAGGCGGGGTTGTTGGTGTTGGTGGTGGTAGGAGCCGGCGTTACGAGTTCGGTGGAGAAACGAACGCGCAACCAGGTGGTTTAACACTAGGTGGAATACTTTCGATCAAACAGACGCCGCCGTACCGAATCCAAGATCGGACTCTACTGGATCTTATCCGTGATGATCAAACTTGTGGAAAGGAATCGAAGAAGACATGGAAGATGTTTAGGGAGAAACTTCGGCTAAAACTCTCCGGTTTCGTCTGTACAACTACTCTTCCGACTCTCGCCTCACATGTCGTCATTACCACCACCGACAGCAACCGTGTGACGACACGACATGGTTCAACACAGCAGAACTCGACCGATGAGTCAAGGCGGTTGAACTCACCACCGGTGCATAACACTAGTAGCGATAGAATCATCGAAACGCAAACATTCAGTGTACAAAACGAACCTCCAGTGGAGGAAATCGAGCAAACAACGACGGAGGAAGAACGAGGCGGCGGCCGAGAGGGAGAACCAGCGGCCGCAAGGATGTCGTTGATGTCGTTACTGGAAGTCGATGGATCTGCTTATTTGGACGATGATGAAGAAGAAGTGGAGGAGGAGGAGGAGGCCGCGGTGGTGGAAGAAGGCCGCGGTGGTGGCGGAGGAGGGTACAAGTACAATAACTGCTGCGTGTGCATGGTAAGACATAAGGGCGCAGCATTTATCCCCTGTGGACACACTTTCTGCAGACTATGCTCAAGAGAGCTTTTCGTTCAAAGGGCTAGTTGTCCATTGTGTAATCATTTCATCTCGGAAATTCTTGATATTTTTTAGTTTTTTTTTATAAGTAAAAAAAATTCTGGTTTAATTTGATTTTATGGAACGAAAATAATTACATTGAAATTGTTCAGCAAAATTTATGAGATAAACATCGACATTGTAAATGATTATCTAGTCAAAATTACTAGGAGGTCTCAGGTTCAAATCCAAAGAGGAATAAAAATCCCTTTATGGCCACGAAGGTTTAAATGCAGTGACTCCGGGCTATCTGCAAAGAAAGTGGTCGTCCTGGGATTAGTCAGCTCGCATAGCGGGTTGGATATCCAGGTTAATCAAAAAAAGAAAGAAAAATTATCTGGTAGCGGTTGTATAAATTCTTAATGAAGTGTATAAAATATGTCGGGTATTTAGATTTATGATAAACATAACAGTACTGATTTCATTTAGTTGTTAAGAAAGTTGAGTAATATAGTCAAAATAATAGTTTAATAACGGTGTTGTCTTGAACATGTCCCGAGACTGGACTAAGAGGCCGTTTACTTACACAGACTGAACAATCGTGAACCGTATAAAAATGCAGTCTAGATAAGAGGTTCAAGATGGGTGAGCGTTGACGGGGTAAGAGCCTTTTCTTCTTTGTGGAGACAACATCCTAGTTAACATCACTTTGTCGGTTAAAGAACCTCACCTCTTGCCAGCAAAACGTCTCTTACCCGGTAAAAAACAATCAACAACTAGTGAACGACCCCTGAAATTCAGTCTAACAAAACAACACATGCAAATTGAGGTTAAGGAGTGAGGATGGAGCAAACGTTTAAAGGACTTCAGTATACTGGTCCGAATCCAAACGCTACCAAAACCCTTTTAATCATGGAGGTTCACTTATAATGATTCCAAGCAATTTATGGTCGCTTGAGGAACTAATCAGTATACGTAACCTGACCAAAAAACTCACAGTTATCCAAAATAATATTGGTTTAAAACCATAGTTCAAAAGATTTCAACGATACATACACTACATGACGAATATTGTTATAAGTGAGTTTTTTGTTTACTTCTTAATAGTTCTATTAAGAGACAGTCTTTGAATCGTTAGGAGGTGAATTTTGTTTGACAAAAAAAGTCTGCCTCTTAATGGTTCCAAAACCGTCTGCATGATTTTTTTAATCATGAGGCTCCTTTAACCATTAAGCGTCATAATTTTATTGTAAACAATTACCAAACAATTATATTTCATTTTGCACTATATCATGAGAGTCTATTAATCATTCTGACTATTTAATTATTCTGCATCAAACCATTAAACAATCGATAAATATTATATTTAAAAAAAGCTAATACTATAATTTAATTTTTAATGAAAAATGGTGGGAATAATATTTGTGGGTATTTGCAATTAGTGAATTGCATGCCGGATTCATGAAAAGAAAGCGAAAGGGTGGAAGTGGACCCCATCAATTTTTGATCATTCTTTTCAAGAAACAAAATAGAGAATCCAAGACACAAGATATATATATATATAAAAAAATATTTTAAATTAATAATAATAATAATCTATACTATATTATAAAACATTTGAAAAAAACTTTTAAAAACCATTTTTTACGTATTAAGTACTGTTTATTGATGCATATTATTTAAAATTCAAGACCACAAGTAAATTGTGCGTAAGTACAACTTACTAAAGCTTGTTTTTTGAATTCGTGTAACTAATTGCAAATAAACATAATCAAATACAGAATAAATACCTCATTTTAAATAACAAAATCTAAAATATAATTAAGATAATCAGTGAGTTCTAACTGAATACTTAATTATTATCTTTATAAAGAATTATATTATTAAATCTAAATTAAATTAATTTATAATAAAAAATTATGAATTAAAAAATTTATATAAAATAAGAATTTTTAAATAGTTAATTTAATATTAATATATATATATATATTTTAAATTTTAATGATATTTTAAAATTTATATTTTATTTAAAAATAAAAAATTATCGTCTTCTCAAAACCACATAAAATCGTATTATATCAACATAAATAAATAATAAAAAAAATATTAAAATCGAGATGTGTCTTAATGCATTGTGTAAATATCATTCTAATAATAATAATAACAATAAACAATAATATCATGTCTATTTAAATTTGACCTTTTCAATCCTAAGATAACAAGGAATCATTTGAAAAAAGACCACCCCAAATATTCCCTTCACTTGCCCCATCCATATTTTATTGATTAGTCTGTGGTTTTTTTATTTATTAACCTATATATCCAACCGGTTATGTGAGCCGATTAATCTCAGGATGACCACCTACCTTACAGGTAGCCCGGAGTCATTACATTTGAACCTCCGTGGCCACAAGAGAATTTTTATTCCTTCTTGGATTTAAAATGAAGAAAGTAGGAGATAGATGCTAAAATTCTTCAAATTTAAAGGACTTTTAAAAAGTAATTGCTTAAGAGAGAAATGATTTTTTTGCCAGTTTATCAGTCTAAAGGGGCCGTTTACCAAACGTTTACCCGGGTAAGCGAGATTACTAAGTTACATTACCTTACCGGATGAATATGATAGGGACTAAGAATCTTACTCAGTAGACAAGGAACAAAGAATCTTACCCAATAAGTGAGGACGATGACTCTTACCACGATATAACGCTTACCAGGTAAGTTGTTGAATGCGATGTTATTTTAGTGGACTAAAATCTTACCCGTTAAGTAAATGATAAAGTTAAATTTTACCCGTAAACACTTATCGGGTAAGCGTTTGGTAAACGACCCCTAAATTGTATGTGATTTTACACTAATCTCATTTGTAAAATCATCAATGAAACAATACATGAGATTAATCTCTTTTGAGTATAAAGTCGTCTCACCAACGAAACATTATATCGAACATGTGGTTTCAAATGGGGAAAAAATGAGTTCTTCTATAAACGGTTGATAAGATAATTAATATAATTAATAAGATAATATTATGGAAAAATTAAGTGTTCAAAATGATTAAGAGACTCTCATGATATAATGCAAAAGAAAATATAATTGTTTGGTAATTGTTTACAATGAAATTAGGGCGTTGAATGGTTAAGGTAGGCCAATGATATAAAATCATTCAGAGGGTTTTAGAACCATTAAGAGACATATTTTTTTTTTTGCCAAACAAGATTCACCTCTTAATGATTCAGATGTTGCATTTTAATGAAAATATTAAGAGGTAAACAAACAACCCCGTAATCAAGATTGATTCATAGAGTTTCTAACATATAGAAGGTTTTTATATGATTTTGTACGTACGTGTGTGTGTGTATATATATATATATAGGGAAGAGTTCAAACAAGAACAACTTCATTTTACGAGAACGTGAAAATACCCTTTTACTATAGACAATCACATGTGATACTAAATCAAAGACGCATGCAATTTTCGATGCGATCTTGGTTGCGGGCCAAGTCGCCCTTACACCACTAAGCCCTCTCACATGTGATAAGTGTGTTGTTGATATGATACTATAATCCATCAGGACTATCACATTTTATGCTAAATCATAGACGCAAAGGTGCGACTTAAGTTATAGAACACATCGTCCGCACACCACAAGGTCCCCTCACGCGTATTATCAGATGTGATAAGGGTGTTCTTGCGTTCTCGTAAAATGGAGGTGTTCTCGTTTGAACCTCCACCTATACATACATATATATACATATACATACATATATATACATATACATATATATACATATACATACATATATATACATATACATATACATATATATACATATACATATATATACATATACATACATATATATACATATACATATATATACATATACATATATATATATATATATATATACACACATGATAGATTGATGGTGCCATACAGAGTACTGTTACCAAGTGCTACAATAATTCAAAAATTTATTGCATTAGGAATTGTTTACCAAACTTGGCCATAATCCATTATGAGCCATTTCAGACACCCTTCAGCCATCATCATCACCACACTCAGCCATCCAAAATTTAATTCAACCTTTTTCTACTCCCTTACAGACAAGAAACAAACAGACATGCTATTACTATACTTGGACATGGGTCAAACAACTTGAATGTAAACCCGACCCGATCCTAGGTTAACCACTTCCGTCGATAAACCGAGTCTTGACCATCAAAACCAGGACCTCTTTAGCCCACTAGGTCCTAACCAAATTCAAGTCTTAACCAAGAACCAGGTCCTAACCATGCTTCGGCTGTAAAAGGAGTCTGCATGTTCCTTACCGGTCATAGCCAAGTGTAACGGTTCTGGTCCAGACATGGGACCAGTCCTTGGTCCCCCTCGTTTGTTTCATCCTCTAAAAAATCTAGGGTGCTTTTTAATACGTGGAATTAGGGGTGTAAATGTTACCATTCGAATAGCCATTTCTCAAACTCAAACTCGACTCAAAAACTCACGAGTAGTTAAAAGCTAAACTCGATTCAAACTCGATTGCAATATTTGGAACTCGAATCAAGCTCACCCGTTAAAATTTATTAAATTTTAGGGTCTTCTTTTGTAAATTATAAAACTTAAAGGTGCTTTTTTATACTTTGTAACACTCAAAATGGTGCACCTCAAATTTTATCATAAAAAAGACAAAATTACAAACCATATTCACATCCCTCCCTTTTTATAAGAGACCTTCACCACCCTTATTTTATCATTTGTTTTCAAATGTGGACAACATCACCAACACTTTTATAGTTTTTTTTTGTCTTTTTTTTAATTATGAGTTTAATAATAATAATTGATTAATTTTTATAGTTAAAAAATGTAAAGTTTTGTTAAAATATTTAAAATTATATCACATTTTTTCTTTTTATTGGTAAGTTTATTCATAAATTTCTACAAATTATATTATGAAACTGATTATATCATAAAACTAATTGTATATAAAAAATCGAATATCTCACGAGCTTTTCGAGTCAAGTATTCGATAGCTCGACTCGACTTGTTAGTATGTCGAGTTGAGCCTACTCGAGTCGAGTGTTTGACCAAGTTGATCTCAAGTTGTTTCATATCCTTACACCCCCAAGCAGAAAATGACAGGACAAAAACCTAACTTCCCATGTTTGGTGCGATATTAGACTAGAATATGACATGACTTGAATATTTTTGTCCCATAAAAATAAGTGGAACAAAAATCAACGAGATGGAACAAGATTGGGTAAATTACTAAACTACCCATGTCAAATTAACCTTACACGATTCATTCTCCCGCCTATCTCAAGTCTCGTTTGCATACCAAACGCACCCCTAAAGAACTATGTAAATACTATATCTAGCGCCGGTCTGATCCAAGTGCCTACGGCTCGGCAAGGAGAAAAGCATAACGAGTGTCAATTTACGCATATGAAACGAACATAGAATCGACAAACGTTAACGTACAAATAAGAACACATAATTTTAACAATTGAAAGAGATATTAAAGTTTTTCCTGAAGACAAAAGGATGGTAGAAGGATCTCTAGAACAAAAAGATCCTAATAGATTCAGTCAACTCAAGGATCATAAGACAACAAGAATCTACCACCTAAAACCACTCCAAGAAGACACAGACACTTCAAATAATTTGATAACTCCATTATGGCTAACAAATCCTTCTTTTTACCCTTTTTTCTATCTTTTTCTTTTTTCCCTTTTTTAACTAACAAGTTCTATATGGATTGGCCAAATGGTAGCTCCATGAAAAAATGGAGCAATTACCCACAAAAATGTTAAATTCTAAAGGAACAAGAAGCACTTACTTGGTCATCCTTTGGTTCTCATAATTGTAATGCTGCCTTTCCCTCCTTCGGTACGAATCTTGGTTTTCCCGACAACGGGCTTGCCTGAGAAAGCGGAAGTAGGGTACAAAGTTGTGTTGTCTTGATGGGTTTTCTTTGATTTTGATGGTGGTGGAGTGAGTATCTTTTGGTTTATGTCTTTGAGGGTAACCACTCCTTGCATGCCACATGGTTTTACGAAGGCAAAGGGAAGGACAACCGATGAAGTCATCTTTGTTGGAGTCTTAATCAAAGACTTTTTCCCTGAAAAAATAGCGATTCAAGATTTTCAGCAAGAGTAAGCCATGTCATGAGTAAGAAGAGAAGAACATTAGAAGGAGGTAGTATTGTTTGGTTAGTTTTCCATTAAGTCCTGTATGGATAAAGCTATTTGTCTGAATTAATATGTCCGTATAGATTAAGAAGGTTTTCATTTGGAAAAGTCTTTTAATAGATGGAAGGAGCGTGTTTTTTAATTGGGAGGGGCAAGTTTAGAAAAAACTTGGCTTTCTACATAAAACCCGTCCCTAGAGGCTTACTAAATAAACTACTTTCCATATAATTAAGCCACTACCAAACAGTCACATGTAGCTGCCCAAATAAGCTGTGAGTCCCATTAAGCTCATCAAGCTGCTAACGAACAGCACCTGAATCTTGTGAAAACTATGTGGCAAGCAAAAAGGGTAATGGTAAGCGGTTCTTTATTTTGATGGGGTTTGCATAATGGTATGATAGTAATGGCATTTCTAAGTATCAATGTATCATTAAATTTTAAAGATCAGAAATGGTATTAATTTGTAGTGGACGATACAAAAAAGACCCTTTAGGAATGAGACAAACCTTTAAAGATGATATTTTGATGAGGAGTCGATTGCTCTTGACCAATACTACCTCCATTCTTGGGTTGGGCATCCTTCAACTCTATAGTAATTGGTTATGACATACCAAAAGAACATAACAAAACAAAAGGAACATGAGAGAAGTTTAAATATTAAAATGGAAAAATTGAAATATCGGGACATTTGTGTATACCTGTAAGATCAATCTGAACAGCAACGGTTCCAGATGGATTACTGTTTTCAACATATTGAAATTAAGCCACAACTTTTGCTAGTTAAGTTAATGAATAATCGTGAACCTGAATGAAACATACACATCATAAGGGCTTAATTGCATCTCTGTATCATTTATTAGACAATCGGCCAGCCAGCCCTCTGAAGATTGATCTAGACCCTCGTAACCAGATCCAGATGCAGATGTATCATCTGGAAATAATGCAATAGTTGCATTCATGAATAGAACAATCTTAACAGCTAGTGAAATATGCATTGAAGGATGTAGGTGAGTAGCTTGATGGAATTGAAGGAAATGGAGATAGTAAAGGACTAAAAAACATACCTGCAAATCCAGCGACCCATTGAGTCATATCAGATAAAGCTCCATCCAATGAAGCTTCCCTTTCCTGGTCACAGAACAAAGAGGGTGATTAAGAAGTATCATTCAGACAATGATTTCACAAAAAAAACAGCTCCCACAAGGAAAGAAAATTGTAAGATAAGAAGGAACTATGAATACCCAAAATGACAATCAACAATGCCTAGGGCCTGTTTTTAGCAGCTTAATGGGACTCGCAAACTTATTCAATCAGCTAAACATGACTGTTTGATAATGGCTTAATGATATAGAAATTGGCTTATTCAGTAAGCTTCTAGGAGGGAGCTTTATGCAAAAAGCCAAGTTTTTCCCAAACCTGCCCCTCCCAAGTAAAAAACATGCTCCTTCCATCTATGAAAACCCCTCCCAGACAAAAATCTTCTCAATCCATATAGACAGATTAATCTATACAGGACTAGATGTATTATGAGCCAAACAGCCCCTTACACTTCTTCGAGATTACAACACTGCAAAGAGCTTGCCCATCAATAAGAAGGAGGTGCTGCAGAACATGTGCGAACCCCTTCTAATGGAAAAATAAAACTCAATACCTGAATAGGCACTGACTTATAGGTTCCTTCTATGTCTATTACTCCTCCGTCTCAAAATAAATATATACACAATGAAAAATGCACACAGTTGAAGAAAGGTGTAGTTATTAACCTTTTAATTGACTAAATTACAATTGTACCCTTAATAATAGAGGGCGTAATGAATTTCTCCATCTCAAAATTACAGGTAGAATTGAAAAGTAGGCACTTACCTTGAAGTTGGACACTTATTTTGGGACACATTAAGGTGTTTGATTTTAACTTAACACTAAGAGATCGACTTAACATGTTAAGTTAGCTTTCCTCTCTTAATGCATTAAGTAACATTTTTTTTTTTCTAAAATTACCCTTGCCCTACAATTTTCAATCATATTGTCTCATTAAAAAATAAATAGTTTACCAACATGCATGAATAAAAAATTATAATCAAACCATAATACTTTATTGATTTAAATATGTTTTTAAGTTATTAAATATTGTGTTATGAACTCGTCGAATTCATATCATTTATGTTATTTTAAATAATTCATATTATTTTAATTTTTATCATCATTTTAAAAATTTATCAAACAGTTTATTTTCATTCAACGCTTATGTAGACACAAGGTTAAAATGGTAAAGTTTGTTGTTCAAATTATTTATTCAAGATAAAAATCAAACAACGATTCATATCTTAATTTATCCAGACAGATTAATGCTTAGAGACAACTTAATAGATTCAGAACCTAATGGATAAAAAATCAAACAACCCCTAAGATAGAAAAAATGGACACTTGTTTTGGGATGGAGGGAGTAACAAGTTCAAATGATAGAACTTTCTAACGACTCTAGCATATGGAATCATAAAGCACAAATGCAACATCAAAGTTTCAAATCCCACATTACTAGGAGGCTGTTTGGTTAGTTTTCTATTAAGTCATGTATGGATAAAGTTGTATGTGTGTATTAATCTGTATAGAATGAGAAGGTTTTATCTAGGAGGGGTTTTTCATAGATGGAAGGAGCATGTTTTTTAGTTAGGAGGGACAAGTTTGGAAAAAACTTGGCTTTCTACATAAATCTCTCCACTAGAAGCTTACTGAATAAGCCACTTTCTATATCATTAAGCCACTACCAAACAATCATGTATAGTTGACCAAATAATCTATGAGTCCCATTAAGCCTATTAAGCTGCCAACAAACAAATCTAGGTCATGTAAAAGCCACTCTTTTATTGCAACAAGGATAACCCTAAAGAAACATAAGATTATTTGCAATGGGCATGTCTAACTAACCTTGGATTTTAAATATATGGATGAGAAGTCCTCATCACAAAGCGGCATAACGTCTACATCCAAAACTTTATCGTCAAAATGCAGCATCCGACGCCTTTTTGCTTGTGAATAAGCTTCTCTACATGGCCCTGTTCCCTTGTTAAAGTTTTCTGCATTTTTGTTCCCTGTGTTAGATATCACAAATGCCTATCTATGCTGAAAAAAGGGAAGATGGCACATATAGCCATTTCAGCCAACCACATTTACCTTTTAGCCATTTCTCTCCCAAGATTTCAAAAGTCACCACCTCCGCAATTAACCAATCCTCAACTTGCGGAGGAGCATTGTTAAGTTAAAAAAATGCATGCCCACTTGCGGAACTTTTATGAAACCACCTCTCATGGACCCACTTACGGACTCTCCATCAAACTCAATTGTGGACCACCTCAAGTTTATGCCACCTCACACAAAACTTGTTTTTTTCATGGACCCACTTGCGGACTCTCATTTAAACATCACTTGCGAACCACCTCAAGTGCACGCCACCTCACACAGAACTTGTTCTTTTTTGTTGGTCCCTATACAAGTTGAGGAATGGTTACTTGCGGAAGTGGTGACCTTTTTGAACATGTGGGAGAGAAATGGCTAAAAAGTAAATTTGGACGGCTGAAATGGCTATTTGTGATATTATTCCTTGAAAAAATCTGTATGCTGTTTCTTTCAGAGATATGGATTACCATTGTCGGTAACTTGATAAGCCAGATCCCCAAAGGACTTTGCTGGGGTTGTTTCATTAAATACGTAAGAAAGATCATCTTGATTATCGTTCAAATTGCTCCATAGGCTATTTGGAGCATCTGCATACAACGATTTTAACAAATCAAGATTAATAAATGTAAATAGCTTACCAACAATCTGATAATTGCTAACAGTACATGTATCATGTTAGGAAAGATAAAGAATTGTATGTGGAGGCTTACTTGCTTGCAAACCATAATCTTCACCTTGCCAATCCCACATTTCAGTGCTGCAAAAGAAAAAAGAAGATCAACAAAAGTTGCATTCTAATATTGTCCGAGCACACACTTCAAGCAACCAATCATAGTAACCCTAAGGGGCTGTTTGGTAGTTTTTTCATTAAGTCCTATATGGATAAAGTTGTCTGTGTGGATTAATATGTCTATATGGATTAAGAAGGTTTTGTTTTGGGAGGGTTTTTTATAGATGAAAGGAGCGTGTTTCTTAATTGGGAGGGGTAGGTTTGGAAAAACTTGGCTTTCAGCATAAAGCTCCCTTCTAGAAGCTTACTGAATAAGCCACTACCAAATAGTCATGTACAGCTGACTAAATAAGCTGCGAGTCCCATTAAGCTGCTAACAAACAGGCCCTCTATTAGGCTTCCCGACTGAACATTCATACAGCAGGTTGCCTATGGATAGCATTAAAACAATAATTCAGAAATGTGTATAACCATTTTATTAAGAATGTTGAAGTAAAGAAAAACTAAGATGGAGCAGAAATATGAGGCAACGGAAGATACAAATCCCTAAATTTATGCTAAAAATGCATGGCTGACAATAAGTACAGGGAAAAAATGCTTGCATTTGCTGTTGGATCTATCACAAGGTAGCATAAACCTGACATTAAGAAGGGAAAACCATCACTTATATTGATAAATGCAGATGGATTGTGCCAACTTTGTGGTGTTTAGGGAATTGAATGAAGGATTTGGGACTTCGCTTTTGTTTGATTTCATGAATTTTGTTTGCTAACTTAGGGATTTCACTCTGGTCGTACTATAGTTGAAAAGGGTGAAATTAGCTTTGGAGTGCTATGCAAGTAAGTGAAATTTGTTTAGATACAAATAATCACTTATATTGATTTTATCGTCCCTTTGTCTATATCCACCCCGCTACTACTCTTGTGGTTAAGTATCATTAACGTAGAGTGCATACCATAATTTGTCTCTGTCTACATTTCACTTACTTGCGTAACATCATGTAGAACAATTAGAAACTAACTAAATGGTGAGCAACTTAAAAGATTTGGCCCAAAATCAACACTCCCAGGCTAATTTCACCCTTTTCAACTACAATGAGAATAAAATCCCTAAGTTAGCAAACAAAATTCACAAAATCAAGCAAAAGCAAGGTCCCAAATCCTTCATTTCAGTGCCCTAAACACCACAAAATTGGCAAAATTCATCTGCATTTATCTCAAAACACAGAAGAAATCATACAAATTCACAAACAAACGCATCTAAAAACACAATCTAGTAATGAAAATACTACAGGAACCATAGTAACAACAAAACGTACTTGTCATTATTGTTGTAGTTCATTTGCCGAGTAGATGATCAAATATGCAAGGAACTGAATGAAATCAAATGAAACAACTACTCTTCCTCTTGTACAGTAATCAAAAGTGGCGATTGAAATGGATATGATCCAAGAACACAAACAGTTTCGAAGCGTGAAGAAGAAGAAGAAGAGAAGTGGTTGTCGGAATATGTGCAAATGGAGACGGAAACCGCCGGCTCAGTTGCCACACTCACCCTTTTTTCTGAGTGTATGGTTATTATATACACACACACAACTATATAACAACGACACGAAACACAAGACTTTTCCCGAGTTTAATGAGTGATCGTTTTCATAAGAGTAAACTATAGTTTTGGTCCCTGTAATTTTTGGTTTTATTCGATTTGGTCCCTGTATTTTTTTGGTTTTATTCGGTTTTTTGTTCCTACAGTTTAATCATTATCGTTTGCAAAAACGTTCGGAATTAGTTGCTCCCACTGACAACGATAACTTTTGCCGAGAATTGTAGTCTTTTTCTATTTTCCATTTATTTTTCTTCTGCAAAATACAATTTTAATATATATATATATATATATATATATATAATCGTTGATTTTATTGATTAATGGTTGAAAATGAATATAAGTTATTTACGTTTAAAAAAAAAGAACAATTAAAACACCATACTTAATTTAGAGTTGAAAAGGGTAAAACAGTCAAAAGATAGTTTTATATATTTATTTTCATTTTCGGTTTAATTTTTTATTTTCGGTAATAATTAATGGTATGACGATATTTTTGATAATAATTTAAATATTTATTTTTATTCATATTTCGAGTTTTTTTTTTCGGGTTCATGTGTTTCATTTGGTTTTAGTTTAAAAACCCAATGATTTCATGGTTTCATTAATTAAAAAACTCATGATTTTGTAGTGAAAGATGTCATGGTTTCATGATGTCATGGTTTCATGATTTCATGGTTTTATGAATGATCTTATTGGTTGAAATGAGTTTACACGGTTTGTACAAATATAAGTGGTTTACAAAAGATTGCTCCCCTATATTATATTACATGTATATATATATATATACACACAATATTTGCTCACAAAAGTTCAATATCGGCCCTACACGAATGCCGCCTCCAAGAACACTAATGTAAAGGAGTATGTTTTGACTCACTAAGTGACTGAAACTAGCAGGAGGTTCGGGATCAAATCCGAGACCTGTTTTGTATTTGGTCAAATTCCATCCATCCCTTTGTGGATTAAGCTATACACAAGAGGCATATATATACATATGAAACAGCTCCCCACCCCCACTTCTTCATCGGCACTCCCTTTTCTTTAACAACATGAATTCACGTTGCTAACGCAGGTACAAACTCCCCAACGCCAATGCCAAGTTGCCAACCACAGTTCATAACCATAGCTTTGAAACCCCAATGTTGGTGTTCTTTTCCTTCCCCGTTGTCGTAAATCCAAACTAAAACCCTCAACATTAGCTTTTTTTTTTCTCGTTCCTTGTCTTTATAGATTCTTGATTTTAGGTTTTAGATTATTGTTCGATGTTTCAATGTGGTGGTTTCGTTTTTGCAGTGGCTGATAACCATAGGTTTATTTTAGTGGGAAGGGGTTGGAAGTTTGGGGGGAGGAGAGAGAGCACGTGACATTATTTTAGTTTTAAAAAGACGAAATCGTCTCTCACTTAATGGGTAACAGTTAACGGTTGTCGGAGGAAGGGATTGATTTTGAGTGTTTTTTGCATATCACAATTGGTAAATATAGTTTTTAAACTGCAGGGACTAAAGTTGAGTAAAACAAAAAACACAAGGACCAAAATGTGTAGTTTACTCTTTTCATAGTTATAAGAAAATAAATATTATTTTAATTTAATTTATTATAAATCAATAGTGGAAATTGCTCTAACTTTCCAATAATTTTTTTTAAAGAATTTTATATGAATAAAAAAATTATAAGTGATAATTGAACACTATAGTTGGTTTCACGAGAGACCAGAATGTTTTCGTGAGACCATTTTTATATACTTGAAATTTTGCAGCAAAACGCTGTGAAGGTAAAAACCCCGAATATTCACAGCAAAAATGTTGTGAAGGTAATTCACAACATTTTGCTGTAAAGTTTCAAATGTAAAAAAGTTGTCTCACAGGTCTCTAGAAAATAGATTGGTCTAACATGATGTCAAGTCTTAAACACTAATATAAGTGTGTTAAATGAAACAAGAACCACAAAAAAAGTCATAAACCTGTAAAATCAGTTAAAAATATTTTTTATATGATGTTTTTAAAAAAATGTTATAATTTAAGGTATTGTTTCACATATACTTATTACATAACGCGATAGTTTCACATGCATTTATTTTACATTGTGAAACTTTTTTACACGTATTTTCGTTTCACTATGTGAACAAAAAAAGTTTTCTATGGAATTTCTTTCACCATACGAACACAAAAATATATAAAACAATAGCTAAAATTATAGCATTTGATAAAAAAAAATCATGTAAAAAATATTTTTATATCAATTCTCACGAGTTGGTAACATTTTTATGATTTTCATTTGATTATCTTTCTCTCTCTCTCTCTATATATATATATATATATATTTTTTTTTTTTGATGTCAAGTTAAAGATCATAAAGTCTTAGATTTTGGTCGGTAATTTATTAAAACAATTTTTTTATAATATAAATATTTAGATTTATAATTAAAAATAATTTATTTTAGTTTTAATTTTTTTTTTGGATATTTTTGCCGTATTAGTAACGTTCAAGGCCCAATTGCTCAATGATTGTCTTTAACGTGTTTATCAGTTTGATAATTAGTTAGTTTTATGTAGTTCAAGGAGCTTTAATAAACTGTATAATGAAATAACTACATATAATATCCGTGTTTCGTTAACTCGTACAAATTGGGTTAAGAGAATTTTGGTAGAATTATGCATAATATATTTATACCTTATGCTTAACCAATTTGTACCCTAGACTAGTTTTGCGTCAAAATGTGTTTATACCTATATTAACGTAAAGTTAGAAATTTAACTTGAAGGATAAAAACCGTTAAATAGTTAAACTATATATATATATATATATATATATATATATATATATATGAGGCGGTGTGTTTTTAAAGAAAAAAAAAATTATAATTATATATATATATATATATATATATATGAGGCGGTCACGGCCTCTCCCTCAACTCACCCTCATATCTCTCTCTCTCTCTCTCAATTCTCTCTCTCAATTTTCTCTTTCTAAAATGTCGTCTTCTCTCTAGATTTTACGTCAAGTTAGTAAGGGGATCGAGGCAACAATTATATATTCGGAATCCACTCTCCGAACCCTTCTTAAAGGTATAAGTTTCATTTAGTTTCATTAAGGTGTTTATTTTAGGATTATTTAGACCGGTTTATAAACTGTGTTTATATCTAAGTTTACGGATGGATATTGTTATAAGTATGATATATTTCATGTTTAGTATGTTGAAGTATGTTTATAGCATGTAAATGTAGCKAATCATGAAAGTTGGGTTATAAAAGTTAGTCGGGAATTCCGGAATCGGATTTTACCGACTATGTAGGTCCATACTTTGGTAGTGTATAACTCTCAAACCATAAATCGGATTAAGCTCGTATTTTGCAGTCAGGAAGATCATACTGCATACTACAACTTTCATTAAGGGTCGAAATTCCAGTTATGACTCTAAGTGGCTAGAAACAGTGTGTTTTCGGGATTAATTTGTAGTTTTGTAAGATTCATATAAAATAGATGGATGATCCAAATGAGATGATTTCAAAAGTAATAGACTCGTATGATACCAACCTACAACTTTCATTTAGACAGTATAGTATGGATTGGTCTCTAAGGTAGGTAAAAATGCTTAGAAATAAGAGGGTCRGAAACGGTTGGATCGAAAGAGAATAAGGTTAAGTTTTACGTTTGAGTTTTCAATTTGTATCCAGCTGTCTTTCTTGAAGTCTACGTTGTTTAAGTACCTTAAGACCTAAGTGATTTTATTAGAATAGTTATATTATGCTTTCTATGTTTTATAAATAGTAACCGTTTATGCATTCGTTAGGCACGCGGGTAAATCAAACTTGATCGTGAATTTACATTTGATCGTGCGTTAATTGTCAAATTCGGTTAAGGTACGGATTCCATATCTCACTTGACACGGGGATAGCCATTTGCGTAAGGCTACCTAATCCGGATAATCTGTGATAAATTCCCAATAATTTGTTTTGAATTTTCTTTATGCTTGTCGTATGTTATTGAACTTTGTTTCCTTTACGACTTATATTCTTATTTG